ATCGAGCGACGGTCGTGACCTCCCACTGGGCGAAGGCTTGGAACACTCGCTGCTTCTGGTCGGAGTCAAGCTTGGCGAGGTCCGCGACGAAAATGTCGGTGAGTCGTAGTATTCGACTTCGTACCTCGCGTCGAATGTTCGACTTGCTGTCGCCAGGCCTTTCGCGTTCGATGTCCTCGCACATTTGCTTCCACGAAGCGGCTCGCTTCCTCGAGGTCTCGAGGTTGATCTGCTTGCGCACGGAGTTGACCTTCTGGCAAATCGTGTACCAGTCGGGGATGCTGATCGTGTCGTAGCGGGTCGAGTTCTTGCGGACGAATGTCGGCTTCCGAACCCAACGACACTTCGCGGTATCCCAGTAGTTGTCGAAGAAGACCTTGCAGTAGAATCCATGCGTTCGCTCGATCGCGATGTGCCACCCAGGCGGCTTGACTTCGTGGTTGTCGTCGCGATCGTAGAGCTGTCGACGGTCCTTGTGGGTATAGGGAAGGTCTCGAAGGTTGCCTCGTAGTCCTATCTTGGCCGGTGACAAGTCGGAGTTCTCGGCGTACCACACGAAGTCCTCGTTGGCCCCGGTTGCGCACTGGTAGCAACACCTGTAGTGGATGTTGCGCCAGTCGTCCTGGCCGTCGGGGTTAACGGAGAGGAGATAGTAAGGCGGAAACAGCAGACCACAAAAGGTGCAATCGATGGATCCATCGTGGAGTTTGTCGTTGGCCGGAGTGCTGAAGTACTTGAGGTACATCTCGACTCGGTCGACATCGCGTTTGTGGTGATCTTCGATCGATGTCCCATCGCGACCAATGAGCTCGATGGGCATGCCGTTCTCGTCGACCTCCTCGCCGGTAAGTTGTCGGCGCCAAATCGCCGCCAGCTCGGAGTCTGTCGAGTTCGGGAACTGCTTTCGTAGTGATGACATCGCGAGCTGTTCGGAGGCTCGTCTGAAAGCGATGACCTCCAAGGCTCCCTGGGTGTGATGGTCATCGTAGAGCCTTCGTTGTAATTTCAGTGCTCGGCCCTCGTCGGTGTCCGGGTGGACTCCCTCGAGGTATCGAGCGGCCGGCAAAACTGCTCCGGCGCTGCTGCCGGGCATTTGGGAAAACTGCTCGATGGGATCGAGCTGAGTCGCCGATGTCTCGGGGAACTGTTCAATCGGATCCGACTCAATCGGGGACTGGCGAGAGTGTGCCATAACTTCGGGTGGATCGGGAGGTTCGGGTAACACGAGTCGAGCTTGAGAGGTCGAAGTCTACGGAAGCCAAGCAATCTCCAAGGAGAGAGCAGGCCCCACTACAACTAGTAGAGCCTGATGCAACCGAGTAACATGTCCTACAGGCAAGCACATTTGGTCTTGTCGTCGTATGTAACGAGTCATTCGGGGGGTTGAGACCTACGGGTCAGGTGGACGCATCGCCGAGGCGGAAGTCCCCTTCTACCGAAACGGTCACTGACCCGGAAACACCCGTACATCGCCGAGGCGGAAACGGGGCGACCGTGAGACCTAAAGGTCGGGTAGGCCTCGTGTAAAGGCTCACGCATTCTCGCGGAATCGCAGGATGAAAGCCGGCGGCTCCGCGGCGATCATCGATCGCATTCGCTCGTGTTGGGCGAAGGCACTTCGCATCGCCGGTGAGAGCATATTCGAAGTGCATGAAAGGATCGCCGAGGCCTGCTCCCGAAAGAAGGTCTGCATGGGCTCGAAGTATGGCATCTGCGCCGCGAAGGTGTTGAGATTCCTCGCCGTGTGGCACCAAATTCGGAGTCGGTTCATCCGATCTTCCACCGAAGTATGGTTCAGGTCGGAGAGAGAGGCAGTGATGCTGTGCCACACCATCGAGTAGATCAAGGTAGTCCGGGGTTCCACGAAGTTGTTCGGGACACCCAGGAGCAACACCCGTTCCTGCAGTACATCGTCTTACGGGGTGTGGATCGGGAGGTCGATGTAAAGGCCGTATTGGGTGAGGTAGCTCCCGAAAGTAGGGCATCGGAGTACCTGTTCGATGTAGATGATGCCATCGTACGTGATCTCCCATGGAGTGTCGAAGGCGAAGGAGGAGTAGGGGTGATTGCCAGGTGGCAACATCGCGACATTGTGGCCACCCACCGGCGTCATCGCTTGCAAATTCGCCGACATCATCGGGAAGTTGTCGAAGTGGCGCAGTGTTTGAAAGCCAAACACTGGCTCGTGTGATGACGGTGCATTGGATCGGACATCGTCGATCGAAGTGCGCCCCTTCTCCACCACCTGCGAGTCGCGCCACTGCACTCGGAATCTCTCGAGGCATGACTGTCGTGGTGGTTGTGGCTGAACCGCGACCGGTACACTCGTGTAAGGATTCCCCAAGGAGGTCGTGATAGTCGAGGAAGAGGCCGCCCGACTCGTTGGTATCTGGCCGTAAGACTTGCCTCGGGTCATTTCGTGTCAAGTCCACAGCAGGGTGGACGGAGAATCTCGGAGGCACGACCTTTCCAAACCCCGCGGAGCTGTCGGCGTCGGGGTGTGGTCGTTTGGGCATGGCCTTGGTCTTAGTGCTCACGAGAGTCGTAGTAGCGGCAGCCCCAAAGGATGGGTTGATCCACTCGGATTCACTCGCGGAATTGGCCACCGGCCCAGAGCTCCTTGGGTTCATCGATGTCGCAGGGTTGGCTGTAGTAACCACGATCGGAGGAGTCGGTGGTGGTGTCGCGGAATCATCGTCCTCGTGCCAAGGATCTGGCGACCTCGGCCTCGTCTGAGGTGTCGTGGTAGTCGGTGGGGCCGCCGGAGTCGTGGCTGGTGTCGAAGCGGCGATCTCATCCGGGATTTCGACGATCACCGGGGTCTTAGAGTCGAGCCATCTCTTCGCCGGTGACGGGGATCTCTTCGGGAATCTCGCCGGAGAAAGCGGTCGTTGTGATCCCCTGGCTGCTCCATCGCCGTGGCGGAAAGCAGTTCGGGGTTCACGGCCGAAGCTGGGTGCATCGGAGTCCGTATCCGTGCTGACCTGGAAGAAAGTTCTCCTTGGTGTCGGCGGAGTCGGCGTAGTCGAAGGTGCCGCCGATGGGAACGCTGCCGGAGGTGCTGTCGATGGGGCTGCTGTAGAAGGGGCTGACGAGGGAGCCGCTGAAGGGGGCCATCGGGGTCTCGAAGTCGGGAAAATCGCTCCCCGTGTCGGAGTGGGGTGTTGTCCCCAGGTCGCCGGAGGTCTCGATTCCTCGCGAACTCTACGGGGAGAGCGTCCTCGACGATGCAGGCCATCCGCGATTTCTTGTCGTAGTTGTTGGGCAACATCAGATTTATCCCACGATTCGTAGTCGTAGTACCGAAGGAAGTTTGTGCCAAAGTTGAACTTGCGCATCTCGGCGGAACGGAAAGTGGTCATCGAGTCCATGATCCACTCACGAGCCTGTGCTCGGTTGACCTGCTCGATGATTCCGTTCTTCGACGAGTAATGGTAAGGTGGTTCACCTCGACGATTCTGTCGCTGTACTACGAAAGCCTGTCGCATAGCTTCGTCGAACGTGTGGCCATGTTGATTCCAGCACGTATTGTGGTACTCGCAGCATCCCTGGAACCATTTGTGGCATATGAGGTTGGGCACTACCCACTGTTTGTTGAGGAAATCGGGGTGAAGAAAACCACAATTGGCCATGTTACAGTTCTTCTTCTCGAGAAGGCGGGGACAAAGCTGTCGTCGTATCTCGGAGATGGGGACTTGGGCCGTGTCGCTGACTACTTCGGGGTACTCGTTAAGCATCGACTCTGGAACAGGGGCCGTCATCTTCACCAACGTGCCCTCGCAGAGAAAATCGAACCATGAGTCGGCTCGGGTACGTGCCATGGCTACGAATTGGCTAGTCCAAATCGATGGTAATCGAAGTAGTGGGCTTGAGATGCCCTTCGAAGTTCCGCTTTCGAGCTTTAGAGGCAGCGGGTTCGGGAGTATGTAATTCCATGCCGAAATCATCACGAAAAATGTCTGCCAAATGCTGATTATGCAGATCGGTCTCATGCACAAGAAGAGCAGCGTCGGTGTCAGCTGGTAGGGGTGCATGATCGGAGTCGGGGTGTAGGGAAGCCTCGACGATGTCGAACGGCACCGTCAGCGGCTCCGCGGACTCGTCGCGGTTGGTGATGTGCAGGTACAGGAAGGCCTCGAGGTTGGGCGGTTTCAACAAAGTCGCCGCAAGATTGACAATGTCGTTCGCCGTCTGACACTGGGCGATATGATCGAGTGCCTTTCGTATCTGTCGGGATTGTCGCTTGTTCCAAGCTCCCCACGTCACATCCTCGGGTTTCTCGACTTGAAAATCTTCGAGAACTTGCTCGCGGCTGAATTCCTGGAGCGATTCCTTCAGACTGTCAACAACTGACAGAGAAGCCGTAGTGCTCGAGGTACTGGCCGCCAGCAGCGGTCGTAGTAGTGCTCGGGATACTGGCCGCCCGGGCGGCTATGACCGAGGAGTGATCCGAGGGGACTGAAACAAAATTTCGCTCAAGCTGTAACAGCTTGAGCCAAAATGGCCACGGAGTATACAATCATTCGACATGAATCGGTGAGTCAATCCCCTGACCGATTCGGTGTTTAAGTGAGATATGAAGTTGTCACTTCGCACAAACAAGTGTGTGCTACACATAAATAAACATACATATATATATATAAACATACATATATATATCTATATATATATATAGACAATAAAAACCCACACACACACACACAGCAATATCCGTATACCCATATAGCCTTTCACACTCCAGACCTTAAGTTTCAGTAGCAGGGCTATGTACAAACATACATATACATACTCATGTACTTATACATATGCATATACATACACGTACATGCATAAGCACATGTACAGGCGACAAATATAACATAAAATCTACTATGTGCTGTCGGGGTACGTAGCAACCAAACAAGCCTTTGCTTTTTTGTGCGTAAGTTGGTGACATAAAACCCCAAAAAGTTCTCGTTCTTGGAATACTGGACCCCGTCGAAATATACCGATAGAGGAACGATGTGTTCTCGCGAGAAACCTTGGCGGAGAGCTTCGATCGTGACACAATGGCGTTCGTATAGATCCCCTAGCTCCTCGTCGTGTTTCAAGAAGTCTTGCACAATCTCAGGAGATGCTGTGCCTTCAAGAATACCAAGCTCCATCAGCTCATTGCGTATCATGATCGAAGTCACACGGGTGGGGTGCTGTACGAGGGTCCTTCCAGCAGACTTCTTCAGATGCATCGGAACTGAAACCATTTCCACATCAGGCTCCGGGAATTCTTTATTCAGATGGCACCTGGGGCAAATTACGAGAAAGGACCAGGGACTTAATCAATGGAGTGTTAGATTCGGATAGAGGATTCAGGGATATCATTCTCCAGGTTTTGCAGAGTTTTGCACACAGTCCCTGACCTCAGATGTTCAGCTGCATGACGACTAGCGGACCGAGGGTTCAAAGCCAGATCCTCAGCACCCTCACCCCCTGATGCCACGTGCCAGTAAGCAAGCTGACAAGTGTCGGTTGCCGTAGCAGAACCATCCAAAAACCTCTCGACCAGCAGACGTCGAAACTTCTTAGCAGCCTCGATGTCCCCGCCTTCACTAGGCAACGTGTCTTCATACCCATGGAGATCAAAGTAACAGGAACCTTGGGTTTGGTCTGCTGCACGAGCACGTTTGAAGCTCATCGACCATGGACACCCCACCGTGCTACGATACAAATATATATGCACAGCCCGCTCTATAATAAGCCTTAAACCTAAACCTTCCAGCCTCAACCATACGTACACCTTGAGTGTGAGCTCCCGAAACACCACACCTAAAACCCTTGACCTCAAACTTAAACACTCTAAATCGTAAACTCTACACAAAGTAGTTATCATCCTCACCATACGTACATGTATTCGGTTCCTACATGAGCCAAACCTCGATGCAATTACTGTGCGGCTTGCACCGGCTGTGTGCATCATGGTCACTCACAGATCGAAACTAACTTTTCAACGGCGTTGCCCCGGAACTTTGTTCCCCAGCACCGCTCCCAGCACAACTTTTTCATTGTGTGAGAACGAACCCACACAAGCAGCAGCCAGGATCCTCAGGATAAACCAGGGAAGGTTTTGGATTAGGACTATAATAACCCGAGCAGTAAGATGTCAACCGTAAACCAGGATACCCACTAGGAGCTTCTGGGGGGTTTCGGGGTTCCGGACTGTTAATTTAGCTATACTCATGACGATCTACACCTTACTAGTAGTCCTAGGGGTGAAACGATCCGAGCCTAAGCACCTAAAACCTTAAAGCATATCTCAACCCTAAGCCCCATGCCCATATTCTTAAATAAAACTCGTCCATACGAATCCTCTATGCAGCTGCTTGTGGCACTACCCGGCAAGCTTCGAAAATCCAAGGCATGGCACAGCGATCACACTGAGCCGATGCTTCTCGTGGAGGCCGATCGGGCCAGGGCTTTTTTGGCTTTGCCTTTTGCCTTGGGGGCAGGGCTAGCTTTAACACTCTCGGAAGCATTCTTCTTGGCACTAGCCATCTGTTGTATCTGTACACTAGCCTCTGCCATAGCAGAGATTTTCGGCCCCAACATGCTCACGAAGTCGCAAAGCTTCGGCAAATACTGATCCTTGTACTCCTTCTTCACCTTCTGCAGCTCCTTCGCGGAGAGAACAGCCACCTTCATGGACTGAAAGAAGGGGTTCTCGGCGTAGAGCTCGAGCACCCCGACCCGGCATTCCTTGTAGCTCTTCACGAACCCAGCCGCCCACTGCCATGCGGCGGGATCGCTCTTGCCCATCTCGATCGTGATCATGCTCATAGCATTGTCGCTCGCTTGCTCCTGGGCAAGAAGCTCTTTGACCTCCTTCTCCTTCTTGGTCGTGACGGAACCGCTCCCGCCCGCCTTTGCCCGCTTGTTCGGATTCGGAGGATTCTCGGTAGTAGGAGGCGGCGTCGGGAGGTCAGTGTCGATCGGCTTCGGCTCCTGTTCCAAACCCCTCTTCTTGCCGCCCTTGCACCCACCAGCATTGCTGCCATCCCCGCCGGGCTTGGGCTGGGCTCCTGGAGTCTTTTCGAACAAAGCAGCATAGCCTTGCAAACCCAACTCCGAGGTCCTCACTTCGGTCTCGGTCACATCAACCAACCTCTTGCCGTTCTCCGCCGCGTAGCATCGCATAGCTTTCGAGAGCTGCACCTTTTCAGACCATGAGCCTTTAACCGGCTCCTTGACCTCGACAGTCACAGTACTCTTCCATTCCTGGATGTTCGATGTGGTCAGGAGCTGCTCCACCCACAGGTATGTGTCAGCTTTCAGCCAGGCGTTGTAGACCACACAGTGTTCCTGATTGGCAGTTGTAGGTTTTGGGGTTTCTTAGAACACATTCTCAAAGTTGAAGGGTAAAGTGTGTTTGTACATTCTAGGGTCCTTGGGGGTGTAGTGGGTGGGAACTGAAGCTCCTTAATGTCGGGCTTAGGGCTTATTGTTAGGCTCCGGGTCTTGTCACTAGTCAATGCTAATCGGCTCCTATATAGATATATAAGGTCTAAGAGTCTAGGCTTCCGGGTGGGGAGGGGCTCTTGAGTTCTTTGTGCGAGGCTAGGCTTGATTATTTGGGTTCGGCCTTGAGGTCGTCACGGCAGCACATCTGAGTGTAGTTCTTCGCCTGTTGCACGGCGATGGGTTCATCGACCCCGCCTAGGACCTGACAAATCTGAAGGAAGGTCTTGTAGGTGCCGAGCTCGTCCTTTCTTTTGCGAAATGTATTGACGGTGCTGCGGGTAGTCGTGACGAATTCAAAGTCCCGGGAGCATGCCCAGGCCCTCCTAAACTCGAGCTTGAAGGAATCTAGGAGTAGGCCATAAAGGTTTTTCACGGCCGGTTTGAAGCGGATGGCACGGCCCATAGATTGTGCCGTGGCACCACGGGCCGACATGTCTGTGTTGACCGTGGCCCAGTAGCTGGGGCCTTCCTTTGTAGCCTCAAGCATGGAAAACGTCACCTCCTTGGGGTCCTTGTTGATGCTGTTGGCATAGTTCTCGATCGCGATACGAATGGATTCCGGGGTCATTGCAGGTGGCTTCTTATCCTCGCTGGCGGCGTCTGCTGCCTTCTGCTCGCCGCTGCTGGTGGCGTCTGCTGGCTTCTGCTCCTCGCCGTTGGTGGCGTCACTTGGCTCATTATTGTTGTCACAGCCGGCGGCGTCTGGTGCCGATGCCGTGTCTGCGGGAGCTTCTGGGAGATCGGTGACGAGGGTCTCTGGGATTAGGGTATCGCGGGTGTCCATGGAGTCGATGCGGGCGGGCTGTGACTCAGCCATGATAGCAGCTAGAAGCTATCTAGCTGCTGCCGAAGCCTGTGGATCTCTGCACTACGTAGCTTGCGAGCTAGGGCATAGCAGCATGCATCAGTATAGCATATCATACAATACATACATACAAGACAAGGTGGAGCCTCCAAGAGGGTCTGATTGATCTCAATATAGTAAGTATATATGAGCTAATATATGTTCGATACAGGACTTTTTGGGCTCGTGACACCTCATCACACCTCATTGGGGGGCTCATCGGGGATCCAGTTTGATACCTCATTCTGTTCATTGCCTACTTAGAGGACACGACAGCATCTACCATACCCTAGAGGGGCTCATTGGGGGGCTCATCGGGGATCTAGTTCGACACCTCATTGTGCAGCTTTGCTCTTGCCGGAGCTCTCTAGCTTGCCTATTGACATAATCAGCAGCAATGAGTGGCTTGGTACGTTGCTACTCGACGAGCATGCAGACTCTGCGGTTTTCCGCTGTTGCGAACACATAGATCATGAAGTCAAAATCACCTCGCGTCGGCTATGGAAGCCCACAAACCTTAAAGTAGAGCCCCTACATGGGTATCTAAATCTGGATCCACCGATATATTGGTTATTAGTAAAATACTCATACCGAAAGAGTTTAGGGTTTAGGGCTGAAGGGCTTAGGGTTATGGTTTGTGGTTAGATGGGCCGGTCGGGCTCAGATGAAAGGTGGTATCCAGTTAATAGATTGCGAGGAAGGTAGCTAACGGATCTAATTATGGATCCATTATAGCCCACGAGCGAACGGATCTAATTCTGGATACCTATATAGCCATAGCCAATCTGATATCTATATAGGGAAGGGTGTAGATTCTGAGTTTAAACCTATATATATATCCGTACCAAGGCAATAAAAAAGGCGGTATCCAGATAATAGAATGCAAGGATGAGAGACGAGAGGCTCTAATTCTGGATCCAAACAACAGCAGGCGGGCTCGATTGCGGGATCTAGTTCGATCGTAACCAATCAACATATATATATATATATATATATACATACATACAAGCCCTTATAGTTTCCAGATCCCCGATCGAGGCTTTATTATATTATATATATAAGGTGTGGGAGGATTTTTGGAAATGTAGGGATTAGGGCTTAAGGTTATACTAAGCAGGATTATAATAATTAATGGATAGGGAGCTATACATTATTCGGGGGGGGTCCAATTCTGGATCCAGAAATAAGGGTAGAGGGTACACACATACATTATCCGGGTCGGGTTTTAATTATGTATATATGATCTATAATTTTCTCGCTTCTTCTATATATATATATACATATATATCTATCTATATTTTATTCTACAGAATCGGGACTAGGCTTACAGCGATTCGAGGGATCCATACTACGACGTGGCTCGCACATCATCTGCGGATGGCTTGGCGGCTCCAGCTTTTCTGGAGCCTGGTGGAATATAAAGCGAGCACGGCATTCAAGCGGGAGGGTTTTGCGAGGATGAGGTTCTTCTGGGCCTCTGGGTCTTCGCCTTACATATATATATATGTATATATATATATATATTTGTTTATATATACACTGAAAGAGAGAGAGAGAGAGAGAGAGAGAGAGAGAGAGAGAGAGAGAGAGAGAGAGAGAGAGAGAGAGGAGAGAGAGAGAGAGAGAGAGAGAGAGAGAGAGAGAGAGAGAGAGAGAGAGAGAGAGAGAGAGAGAGAGAGAGAGAGAGAGAGAGAGAGAGAGAGAGAGAGAGAGAGAGAGAGAGAGAGAGAGAGAGAGAGAGAGAGGGAGAGAGGGATGAGAAGGAAGAGAAAGCTGTGTAGGTAGATCTAAATGAGATGGACTGGTGTATATGTTACATTAGCTTATTAGTAGATAAATATATATATATATATATATATATGTATATCTACAGACGTCCACGTCTCGCCATGTAAAACATATACTATATATACAGTGTACGATAACACACCAGCAGCTATAGTAGCTAGCACTCTCACCATTGTTGACTGTCGGTATATTAATACATATGTATCAGTCCTATAGCGAGAAGACGACAGTGCAGCAGCTTAGCACATAGCAGAATACCTGCTGGATACATATATATATATTCGATGGATGACAGATCAGACCAGTCTGCGTACAGTCATGTATCCCAGAAGCCTCGAAGCCATCCAGCGATATTGCTTTGCAATTCGGACAGGCAGAATCGAGCTGCATCGGTGGAGACTCAAGATTGGGGTCAGGTGTTGAGGTTGGTACTGTCCAAATAACGACCATCTAGTACTATAAAGTTTCAAGGCCACAATCCCACGTGTAGCTAGAGGTCGAAAACCAGAGTAGCTCCATCCTCAGCTATAGCTCCTAGCGGCTGCCGTTCAGGAAAATCAGATCATGCCTCGAAGCTAGCCAGGCCACCCAAACTACTAGCTGATACTAAAACCCTATCAGACGAATGTTTTAGCACAATTAATACATAGATATGTATATGTATACCATACTCCCCAAAGATCCTACCCAAGTTGGAGGCCCGAGGACTGTAGTCTGCGGTGGCAAACTATTGCACCAAACCTGAGGACAGCTCGCTGAATCCACTGGAACAAAGCAGTCACGGTTTCCATAATGTTGCGGGCTTCGGGACATGCAGTTGCAATCCTACAGGGGTAGGCGGGGACAGGACTATAGCTACGATCACAATAAGCGAGATCCCCGATCCCATCCAAACCGGTCGTATGCAGGTGCTATACTAATCATCAAGTTTGTGGGATTCAGCCAACACGACAATCCTCAGGAAAGCTGCTCGTGGCGGCCACTATGCTTTCGAAGCGATCGACGGGCAACTTGTTTATGCGGGCTCGGGGTCAAGGCTTTGAGTGTTCGGGTCTTTCGGGACTAAGTATCCTTGGTTTTTGGGGTTGCGGGAAAGTTCTGGGTCCTTTTCGCTACCTCATATCATCCCCATTCTCCTGGCCAAGCAGAGCACTAGCCGCCGTGCCAAGCCCAGCGAAGCCTGAGCGAGCAGAGTTGTACTAGTTTCTAATGGGGTTCAGAGCAGAGGTGGCGTTTGTGGGGATTAAGGTTTTGGAAGTTTAGGGTTCAGGGTGATGTTAGTTCCTGTTGTACATAGCAAAAGCAGCAGATGCAAAGAGAGTCTAGAAACCTTCTTCTACTGCAGGGTCATCTTCCCCATTTTCTTCTTCATCTCCCTCGGCATCATCATCATCATCTCCCTGCGGCTCGTTCTTGGCCTGGTCATCCACGATCTGGGTCTGCGTGGGCTTCGGGATCTTGATAGGCGACTCTTTCGGCCTGGGAGTGGATATGACTGCAAGGCATATATGTGTATGTGTGTTTGTGCGTGCTATTTTGTGGGTGTGTGTGTGTGTGTGTGTGTGTGTCGGTGTGAGCTTGTCTCTACTGTATGTGTGTGCTCTTTAACATATGCGTGCAGCATGCATGCTTCGAAGTGTGTATGTGTGTATATGTACACATATGTCTGAATAATGGATCTATCTATGCATCCAACCAAGTCATGGTAAATTAAGACGATTCAAGTTGCGACTTCGGGAAGTGTTTCAGGCCAAGCGAATTGACAGTTTGCCAATCCAAAGCTGAAGCTTCCCAATCGTGGTCGTGACCCAGTAGATCATCTCGACAGCCTCTGTAGTTGATCTCCGCCGGATTCAAGTTCATGTACACATAGCAATCGGCGAAGGTCATGGCGATGTGCATCGCTTTCCTCACACTGAGGCCGGTCCGGATGACCAGCTGGAGCTTCTGAACCCATCTGCTCGTGGCATCGTGGCGATCCTCGCGAGCCTCGACCTTGATCAGGGGTTCTTGGAGCCTTGCGTGCAGTACTTGCAGCGGATTATCGAGTACACATAGTCCTCGATAGGTTTGTCGGCCTTCGGTTTGCGTTTGCTGGCCGCCTTGGGCTTCTGTTCGGGAACAGTCGGGGCCGGCAAACCAAGACCACTCTCTAGGTCTGCAGGCACGAGGTGCGGAACCGACCACATAAGACCATCGGGGAATTGAGCGAAAACCTCATCCTCTTTCACAAAGGGCTTCGAAGAAAACACCGGGCCGGTCTGGCTTTCGAGGCAGGCACGTTGCATCTCGTAGTCCCACCAGATATCGCCAGGCTGTCGCTTGTCCTGGGCTAGGTTGGGTTGTGTTTTGGCAAGGGCTTTGTGGAGCTTCATAACGATTTTTATTTGGGCTCTGAACTGTTTCAGCTCAGGGGCTTGCTCGGGCTGGGCCTTCTGCTTGGATTGGTTCTCGGGGGCCTTCTCGGACTGCTTCTCGGGGGCCTTCTCGGATTGCTTCTCGGGGGCCTTCTCGGATTGCTTCTCGGGGGCCTTCTTGTTGGAGTGCTTCTCGGGGGCCTTCTTGTCGGAGTGCTTCTCGGGGGCCTTCTTGTCGGAGTCCTTCTCGGTGGCCTTCTTGTCGGAGTGCTTCTTGGGGGCCTTCTTGTCGGAGTGCTTCTCGGGGGCCTTCTCGTTGGACTGCTTCTCGGGGGCCTTCTCGTTGGACTGCTTCTCGGGGGCCTTCTCGTTGGACTGCTTCTCGGGGGCCTTCTCGTTGGACTGCTTCTCGGAACCCTTCTTGTGCTTCTTGCGGGTCTTCTCCTTGGACTGCTTTTCGGGGTCTTTCTCGGCGGCTGCGTCCTTCTCGTCCCCAAAAGCGCTCAGCTTCTTCAGACTAGGTTTTCTCTTGTTGTTCTCGGGCTTCGCTTCTTCGTCGGCTTTTCGTTTGTTCCGAGGCGGCTCCTCGGCGGTTGGGCTCTCCAGCAGCTGCGTGTCTCGGCGTCGACTTGGACCAGGAGTCGGCGAAAGGTAGCCTTGGAAGGAGTAATGGCTTCTCGTACATCGTTATCATTTATTGGATGAACATAGCGATATAGAATTAAGCTGATGGATGGGCCGGGCTTTTTGGTGTTGCTCTATATAATCAACTACAACTACCTTTTTGCTAGTTTTATTTTGATTGTCATAGTGTTGTTTGGTAATTATTATTATTGTTGCTGATTTCGAAGGTTCTGGATGGGGGCTTAATTTGTGGGGCTTCGTTTCGTTCTGGGCCTTAATTTAGGGGTATCAATAGAGGGCCTAAAAGTTTGACTTCGAAGACGTCTTTTTCAGCTTGCATCGGGCCGGTTCCATCCCTCTGGCATCACCTTTTCGACACCACGACGTAGACACACCAGGGGCCTTCCTGGCAAGATAAACCTTCGCCTCCACTTGCAGAGTTCAAGCAACGAGAGTCCAATTGCCAACGGTCAATAAGAGCAGCTTCTAAAAAACCAGCGGCTTCGGCAGATGCCAAAATACCCAGAATCCGCATCTCAGCCCATGCAGGCTTTGAAGAGTGCTGATACCCATAATCTTCGTTGCACCACCGGTGCGAAGGGCTGGAAGTCAAGCCGATCTTGAAACTGCAATTGTCACCGAGTCCACGTATGACGGTATGAGCTCGTTGCAGGATGTTGGAAGCAAGTGTTTGAGACGGCAATAAGTCCAGTTTTAAAGCAGGTTGAGCCATAATGTCTTGGATGACTCCTTTCATCCGAGGCAGCTCGGCCAAGTGCTTCGGCACTTTCAGCTTCCAATAGTTGTCTGAAACATATCGCACACCAGATGCTGTCTTCTCCAATAAGCAAGCTCGAGGATATGGTGCTATGGGCACTACAGGGATCTCTACATGGTCTGGCGGCGCAACCAGTCCTTCGATGGAGGCTGCAGAGGCCAAGCAGCACAAGGAATACTTTAGTTAGTATTTCGCACCCTGTAAGAAAGTAGACAGTATTCCCAGAAACATAAGACTGGTGCGGATCGAAGGGTCTTAGTCTCTGTTTCTGTCGTCCATAGGCCAACAACTCCTGTAGCCAGGCCTCTTCATCGTCGAGAGATTCGCCCGAATCTCTTATTGATGCCATCACAGAAGCTCGCCGCATCCGAACATGGCTAGATTCGGCTAGATATCCCTATAGTCTCTTTATCTACACCAGGACTAAACCCAGGGGTTGCTACGTGGCCCTGCAGAGCAACAAAACCTTCGGAGTTTGAAGCACTTGAAGTCCTCCACAGGCAAGCGACCCCCCCCAAACCTGGATCAATGAGCCCAGCACAGGCACACGAAACCTATTGGGGAAACCATAGCTTAGTTCCAATCCGAATTAAAGGATCCCAAGCCGACTCCAAAGGAAAGCCGAGTAACTCGCACCACTAGCCGATGGATCAAAGCCGCCCATCATCCCATCCAGCGTGTTCAAGAACCAATCGTTGGCCAGGAAAGCCGCCGCTGTTTCCTGGGCGGGATCGCGATGATGCAGCTGCCACAAGACTGGAATATATAATGTATCTCAACTTCTAGAGTTGATGGGACTGCAGTGCCACTAGGATCAGATGCAACGTTTGTTACAAGGGTGGTTCCAAAGTTCAAGAATCGGCTGCTAACTATATGCAACAGTAATAGGAAGCATATATAAAAGAGGATCTAGCTATAATAAATCATCCAAAGGTCAGACAGACCATGCTGTGCGTTTGAGCTGCTGCTGCTGCTTGCCTGTGCTTTTGGCGGGGGCTCATTGTTTGCGGGCTCGTTGTCTGCGGGCTCCTTCTCAGGCTCATGGTCGGGCTGACTGTTGGCTTCCGGGCTAGACATCTTATTGGTGCTGGTGCTGCTGTCACTGCTGCTGCTGCTGCTGCTGCTTGAGCTGGAGTCATCACTGCCGCTAACATCATCTGCTCCGTGTTCCCCGTCCATGTCTTCACAGGCCACCTCATCCTGCGGCTGTGCCTTCGGCTGTGCCTTCGGTGGATCACGGCTCTGATCTCGCTGCTTGCCAGTAACTCGTCTGAGTCTACGTTTTCCCGTGGGCTCATCTGAAGCCAATCTTCTGAGAGGTTTGTGTGCCTGAACGGAAGGGCCCCAAGAAACCGTACAGAAGCTAATGAATATAGCTAATGCCCAACTAAATTTGATTGGCCTCCCTCAACCCCAGCCTTTGGAACCCATTCTCTTTGGCGAAGGGTGGCTTGCGAGTAGTGTCGGAAAGCAGCACTGAGTCGTAAGGAATTGGTGGTTGACCATGCATCCCGATCGGCTTCTTTAACCTGCTCTGCCAAATGTGCTTTGTCCTCTCGCATGCGGACAATAACAGTAGATAGAAGTAAGGTATGCACATATATATATATATAGAGAGAGATAGAGAGAGATACCGATAGGATCAGTACCAAAACCCAACAGTAGATGCTGTCCTCGTGCTTTAGCACCCCTAGCAAGGCTTTCTTGATGACGGTATCCGGAAAGTTCCACGTAGGACTCAACTGTCTGCAGTTGTTCAAGATGCCCTGGAAGAGCCTTGATTCGAGTGCACTCTAGCAGCACAAAACCCAGCCACTATCTACAGAATAAGCTTATAACAAAACAAGCCTGTACTCTATACTTTGATCACAAAGAACGGCGAGCACAGTTTCTTCTTGTCGATCTTCGCGATTGAGCGATCCGTGGGGTACGAAGTAAAAAATCGTTTGTCTATGAACGGCAACAGAGCATCTCGCAGCTTGTGCCATTCCTTGAACCCCTTCCGACTCTTCCGAGGCTCTTCTTCGTCATCATCAGCCGCGATCGCGGCAGGTCGCTTCTTCGGAGGCATGGCAGCACTAAGCGGGCCCCGAAGTCTGAACACTGAAACTTCTCAACCCTGAGCCCTTGTCAAACCCGCGAACGTGGCCCTCAAGCCCGCCGCCCCAGCGACGAGCCCAGTTGACTTCAAGTGGACCTGGCCTACCTCGACAAGCTCCGACATTAAAGGGTCCTAGGGTTTAGGGTTCAGGCTTCAGGTTCGGGGGCGTATCCTTTCAATTAGCTGTCTAAACCCTCACATCCGAGACCCACATCCAGTAAGTAAGTACAATAATGTTAGTGTCTTTAAAGTAGGCTGGTACGGTCGCAAAGGCAAGCTTAACCTATATACCCTTCGCCCTTCACCCGCAAAAGAAAGCCACAGTCGACCCTCGCCAAGCCAGATATCGAGCGGGCGGTTGCCGGAGCGAGTTTTCATCACAAAACCACAACGGACGGACGACGGACGAACAACGGCCGACGACGACGACGACGGACGACGACTATGTGATTTACGGCTTCAACACAGGACGATGCTGCACAGCCGTTCGATATTTCCGGTGTTCCTTCGCAGTGTATGCATTATTTTTAGATGTTACACGACTCCTCCTGTTTTATGGTTTTCGTGAGTTTCGAGGTGTTCCTTCCAATACACTACAGGTTTTAGGGCGAGGTCTGTAAAGGTTTCATATTTAGGGCCTTAGGGTTCTTCTTCTTCTTCTTTTTCCAAAATCTTTGAGCCAACTGACAAACTTTTGGCGTGCAGAGCCGTCTTGTATACTGTTATCCAAGATCTGCCACAAACTCGCATTTCGGGTGACACAACAAAATCTAGAACCCCCTGTACAAAAGTAGATCCGCGACCAAAGGTGGATCTAGAAAGTAGATCCGCCCGGGGGTCTGGGGAACGGTCATGGCGATGTCAAAATCCTGCCAGGTGACTGTGGACGATTCAGCGACCGTGTCACCCTGGGCACCCGACCTGATCTGTTGCTGCTGTTCTCCCGTAAACCATGTCTGCGAAATCTTGGTGGACGTCTTGACTTCACATTTGTCCTCCCAAATCTCGACAAGCGACGGGTGAGCGACTGAGTCGGTTCGGACAGTTTCGTCCCATGAGCGAACTTTCGATGCCTCAACGAAGCACGTGGATACCATCTTCTCGCAGAACAGCTGTTTCTCGTAGATAGCAAAGCCCGATTGTCCGGTGCTGGCACCTTTTCGGCTGACAGTGTATGCACGCCTGATGACGCATGTTTCGCCTGGCTATACATTCTTGACCAAAACGAAGATCCATGAATCACCACGCATGCTCGGGCTCGCAACTCCAGTTCAATATACATTCCCAGCGCGTGGAAACCGTTGAACAAAGAAGCTTTCTGTCGAAGGTAATTGCTGGCTGCTCCTACGAACCGTAAGTCATGATTGATGTTGACAATTGGAGGGCGCGTGGTACGCTTCCCTGCCGCAATGATAGGGTCAACGTACGTGACCTTGAGCTGTCGCTGCAAGTCAGCACGAATTGCTGCTCCGTCTCCGACCTCACTCATCGGAAATGATATGTTCTCGATGAGGATCGCCTGCAGGAGAGACAGATGGTAATGCAACGTGACGGTTGCAAGTTGCTCTTCAGTCAAGCCATCCAATGTCGCATTCACAGATTCCAACGATCCTTTTGTGACTTGGAAGTTGTAGTTGGCACCTGCGGTGATCGACGGGCTCACAATGTAGATCTCACTCCATCCATGCATGACGAGATTCTCTCTCACTGTATGCGTTGATCCCCTGGTCCTGGCGACCATGTCAAAGTCTTGGACGAGGATTGTGCATTGAGAGCGCATAGTCGCGGCATCAGGCTTGCCACCCATACCCAAACTATTGCGAAATCCGTTCAGCGTGTTCATGGTGTTGATCCTTGCTTCTGCCGGAATTTCATCGTTGTCGACAAGATCGTTGTCTGCCTCGATCATCACTGCCGAGGTAAGCATTGGAGGAGAAGGAAGATGCACGCACGACACCAATGCCAATGCATGGTACAGCCGTGAATACATCCGTAACCACATCTTCGTGCTCAGCTTCACGTAGACCTTCAGGTTGAGACCCTTGTCGTCACTTTGAGAGACGGAACGAATCCTTGCCAAGTAGGTCACCAGTCTTCTGACGTAATGCTGAATCGGTGTGGTCCCCACGTCGTGGTTGGCCACGAACTTTGGCGTCTCATCAATGGTAGGTGGGTACTCGTCTTGATCACGGGTCGTCGCCAGCAAGCTCGAGCGACAGCCCTTTTCATCGATGTTGACATAATGGTACCAACTTTCCTGAGCGCCAGCGGGGATTGGAGCTTCCTCCCATGTCGGTTGCGATGGTTCCTCTTCCGGTTGCGAAGTCGATGGTTGTGGAGGAGGTGCCGCGGAAGATGATGACGCCGATGCCGTTGCCTCGTCCGTCCTTGCCCTCTTTGGTCCGTGGCTAGGGGTGGCTCGAGGCTCAGGCAGCGGATCCTTGCGATTGTCCCGGCGTTCTTCCATGCTCAGGGTGCACGATTCCTTCCGGTTCGAGGTTGCTTGCCGTAGGCATCGCAACTCTCCCCGTTGAGTATACCCAGCTAGGATGCCGTTGAAGATTGGGCGGAAATAGGCCATCATCTTGCATAAGCGGACTTGGTGCCCCCATCTGTTGGAATTCTGCTTCCCATATGCTCAACGTGGCGCGTTTGGTAGAGCAGTCGACCACATACCCAGATTCAACTCCGCACTGATTCCAGGTGTAGCTACGGAACGCATCCGGCAATTGGAAGCCGTTCCTGTCCTGATCTGCACATACAGCATCCACATGGTGCTTGAGGAAAGAATACGTGGTGTAGTCGGAATCAGGGAGCACATCGTTGGACCATCTGTAATGCGGGTGTCCAGTTTCTGGATCAACCCATGATACGTAGGAATGAAGCACGTGGAGACAGACACTGAACGCCTGGAGCGAGTTCATCGCAAAGGCGAGCGGATGTCCCATGCCTTGAGGCATTGTGCGCATCATCAAAGCCAGCTGGTGAACGTTGAGTGGCGTAGCGCCATCGTTGCTCGCTGCACATTCCTGGTTGTAGGTCCGTAGTCCATACCCAGTGTGTTTTGCGAACATGTACATCAGCTTGCACACCCTACATAACGTAGGCTCCGCCAACAGGTCTGATTGGTCAGGTGCTCTACCCGACATAGGCAACTTGTGGTAGTAGTCCTGATTCACCGTATACCATTGTTGAATTCTCGTGTCTGTCACAGTCTGGTAGGGCGTCTCCACGGAGTTGATGAGAACGGCGAGGTTGTAGTACCCGTCCGCACTGACGATGTTCCTTGTTGCAGTGTTCAAGTCGAACCGAACTTGTTTTCGTTCTTGTTCCAGTTCAACTACAGCCAATTTTGCATCATCGCGGATCACTTCCTCATCCACCATAAACCTGGTGATGGCATTGAACTTCCCCTCGTAGTCAGCAACAATGTGTTTGAGACCTCCACCAAACTTGATGACCATGGCGAGTATCTCCCCATAGGGTTTGTCCATGTACTCCTCAGGGGCAGCAAATAAGCAAGCTTTGAGGATTTCTCGGACTCGAATGGAAAGATCCCCTCCTGGCGACAGATTTGCACACGTGAACAGCAAGACCAACGGAGGTGCTTTGAACGCTGCCCATGTGCGAATGAGATCATTGTCGACCACTTTGTCTTTCGTAATCTTCGGCGGGAGCGAAACGCTCTGCGACGAATCCCCAGAATACATCTCCAGGAACTTGTGGAACTTCAGAAACGTTCGCATCATCCCACCAGACGGGAAAACTTCTTCGTGGTCCACTCCTTCGAAGGCCAGCTCGTAGGCATTGTAGCTTTCAGCCATGGCTCGGGTTTCGGTCCTTCCTCCGTAGGAGGGAAGTCCCTACACCCTACTCGACTTCACGGTTCCGGGTTCTCCGTAAGAGGCACCCTTCCCCGATCCGTCTGGTCAGACCTTAGTTGTTCCTTAGTTGGGGCTTGCCACTTGAAACAAGAGCATGCAACTCAGGCCAAGACCAACATGAACATGAAGAAGGCATGTCAAGCGAAAAATAGACGTCGGAAAATTCCGCACACTTCTTCAGCAGGCGTTTGAGAGATTTCAAGACACTTCTGAAAACCTTGTACTTCCCACCGGAACGTTTCTCACCCCCCACGCAAGCCCCTTCACTACTTCCAGGACCAGCACCTGATCGCAAAAGCGATGCCACGAATAGCACAGGTGTGCGCAGGTCGTTCCGGCACGCATCCTTCATCGTACCGATAAGGTTGTCCTCATCGGCTTTGGAGCTGATCAGCTCCTTGCAAGTTATGCGAGAGCAACCCTTAGTGGACTTCCACATGGCATCTTCCTGAAGTCCCTTGTACTGCTTGGTTTCCTGGACTGGTACTCGAGGAGGCACTTCGATGATGATTTGGAACCCCCATGACGCCGCTCTGCGCGCAATTCTTTGGACGACCTCCCCCCATGGGTAGTCTGTCCGCAATTTGGCCCTTTCAGGGTTGTCAGCGATTTTCCGACTCAGCCACGAATTCTTGCCCAACACCCCTGCACCAACGAAGATCACGGAGTTAGGGTTGTCTTTCCTGACTTCCACCACATCAAAGAGGTAGGCGCACATGGCGTCGTCAACTTCTCGCCCCATACTCAGAACATTTACTTGCAGCCCAGGGTCGTAGTGAGAATCTCCTCATCGACTCCTATCAATGTCCACACCGTCACTGCCTTTGGAGCATCTTTGATAGTGATACGGTACTTCCACCGGCTGTAAGGATTTTTGTAAGCATGGACCAACCTTCCATCGTGGTCGAGGAATTGGATCACCAGGCCCTCCTTGGGTTTGTTTTCGGCGAAATTGACCACGTGAGGCACAATTGCTCCATCATATCCTTGATATTCCCTTTTCTGTTCCGCCGCATCATGCCATACATCTTCGTACACCGACGACCATTGGTCATAACCAAATTGAGAGGCTTGACTTTTGGACTG